CAAGTGCCTTACTAGTAGTAACAATAAGCTACTAGGAACAAGTGCCTTACTAGTAGTAACAATAAGCTACTAGGAACAAGTGCATGTTAGACTCTTTAAATTGCACACACGCTATTGAACCTTGGTCAGTTGTCCATCTTCACGACGAGAACGTGTTCACTCAAGAGCCAGCCTTGTTTACAGGAGAGATGTAGATTGGCAAGTCGGCGTTGCCCCAGGGCAAGTAAGTGTTGCTGCCATCCAAATCTGTACCTGATGTTTCGAGCGGAATCCCAGAATAAAACGACCGAAACGGGGAAAGCAGTGACTGTTCAGACGAAAAATAAGACGAGCGCAGAATGAGTAGTGCTTTCCAGGCGTCATTCCTGAGCAAGAGTCCGTCTGGTCGCTCCCAAGTTGCTGTCCCGTTTGGCCTTCTGCATCCAACATTACCTGCAGAAAAAAGAAACAGAGTCCAAGTCTGGTCTCAAGTTTGCTGTATTTCTAGCAGCTAGCAATTTGCTGTGTTTCTTGCTGGTTCTTCCACATGGTTCAACACTTTCCATTTGCTACTTCGCCTCATAGTCGTCTGTGGGCAAGGTACTGGGCTTGGTGAAGCTGCCATGAGTTGTCCTGCACAAATACCGCCATGCGATCTTGGCGGGTTCTTTCAACGCAGAAAACAAAAAATCAAACTCTTGCCGTCATCTTGCCTTTCCCCTGTGACAGCCGTCATCTCTCCATTTTTGACCTGGACTCAATAGATCCCACGCGACACAACACTGATAGGAATCTGCAGAATCCTTTTGCATCGAATCTCGGGAACTTCGTTGAAAAGGCGACAAGAAGATGGAGGCTGTGGGCTATCAGTGATGCAAAGAACATTGCTGGGAACACCTCCAACATCCAACTTAGCTTTGAAGGCTAAATATAGACAGAATTTGGTGGAACGTGATATTTGCCCAACACAAAAACAAGTTGCCGAGATCAGGGTGCCAATTCTCATATCGTGCCGGCTGCACCGGCTGCACCGCTTGCCGCCCCTAGTAGCGTCCTTGTTCCTAAGCAGCTTCTTGCTCCTACAGGAGCCCCTAGTAGCGTCCTTGCTCCTAGTAGTACGGCCAGGAGCCCCTAGTAGCATCCTTGCTCCTAGTAGTAGAGCCAGGAGCCCCTAGTAGCATCCTTGCTCCTAGTAGTAGAGCCAGGAGCCCCTAGTAGCATCCCCTTGCTCCTAGTAGTAAGGAAAATAACCTCCAACCTAGGAGCGATGGCCTCCTGGGAACTGTTCTGAAGACTGCACAGCCGCACAGCGGACTCTATGGTCCAAACAAGCAATCTTCTAACCGCTGTGCTTCAGCAATCCGGTTCTTATTTACGGTCTTGAAAGCGGCTGGTCTTCAAGACAAACCGACCAAAGGCTACATGTATCAGAATGACATAGTGTTCAGTCATGGGTTGTTGATTTGGGCATCCATTAATTTACATGTTTGGGAAGTCCAAACCGAAGATATCAGGACATGCTCAGTCCTTACCCACGTCCACTGAAGAATTGACTTGAGCATGCTATCTTGTGGCGTCCTTCCTGGCCTTACTACTGATGCTACTAGGGGCTCCTACCAGGTCCCAGTGAGCTGCTGCGAGCATTCAGGCGGAATTGGTCGCGGAGCGGCATGCACATGTCTTCCTGCGTTCTTTCTGTTCTCACCGTCTCTTGCTCATTCTTCCTCCAACCTGATAGCAATGGCCTCCAACCTACTCATCCTTCCTCGTCCCTCCTCGTCCCCATTCGCCCTCAGCACCACACTGTCTCATCACAGTAGCTTCCCACGTAGGCTGCCGATGCATCAGAGCCTTGCCGTGCTCAAAGTGGTGAGCTGCTTTTTTCGTCCGAAAGATCCAGGTTTCCCACAACCACTTGGGCAGGTCATCACCTGAATTCAAGACATGTGGTCTCAGGTATCACAACGGCAGTGTTCACCTCGTTTCTTCTCCAATCTAGTTCGGCCGGACGGTCATGCCACTCAACCGAAGCTTGTCGAATGTGACAAACAGTTTCGATGACCAAACAGAAGATGTGAGAAACAAAGCAACCAACAAAACTGAGAAGGGTGAAACGAAAGCCAGAAACCAGCACGTAGGTCCTGTTTGTAAGGTAAGAAGCAAGGGGCGAGTGATCTAGCACAAAGACCAAGAGGTGGTGTGAATGAATATAGTGACTGGACACTTGGTGTTTGTTTCGTCATGACAAACAGTTACAAGGAAAACCAACTCGCCACATGCCTTTTCGCTCAAGGTTGCTGATTCTTCATGGATCTCCAGTTCAAGTCCCAAAAGAACGCATCTTAAGAACGCATCTGAGTGTATGAAGTGAATCACAGCAGTCTGACCATGTGGAGTTGAGACTCATCACACACCTAGCAGCCAACAAGTGCAAAAGGTGGTCTTGAACTGTCTAGGTCAACGATTCTGCAACGTATAGGACCTCATGGAGAAAAGGGTCAAAGAATGGGTTGAGAGTCATAAGGGCATCGCACAAAGACGCGATGAGGTTAAAGAGAGTTTGGAGGATCCAAGAGTTCCAAAAGTTAAGAAAAATAAACAATTCCCCTTGGCGGAAACTAAGGCAAGGTCTGCATAGCACTAGGAAGCGTGTGTTGGTGCGCTTGCTTATGCGGTGCACTGTTGCTAAGTCCAAAGGAACAAGTTGCACGAGTTCACTCCTTCTCTGTATTGTTCCCGTCTCCAATAAGTGTAGTACATAACGTATTTTAACGTTGACGTGAACCTCCAATCCTGGATCCTGAGGTCCTTGAAATCATATAACAAACAAACAAATTAATGTTCTTTGCAAAGTAGAAGTCTTTGCCAAACGGCGCCAATGAGTTCCACATACCGTTCACATACCGTTCGTGGGGTCTTCATTAAAACCTTTCGCCGTTCGAAGGCGGAAAGAACAAAAACGCTGCATGGAGGTCTATGTTGAAACGTTTGAACTGCCCAAAGAGTATAAAGAGTTCGGATTTTGTACTGCAAATTCTGCCTTCACGAAATATCTTCGGCAGAGTTGACGGTGAACCTCGGCCTATTCGTTCCATCTTGTTTTTTCGAGTTGTTTCTCAAAGTGTCCATCAACGGCCCTTTTTTAAGGCGGTAGGCCGTGGCCCGTAGAGGTAAACAAGGAAGGGATAGCTACCTTAAAGATTTGGTGTCTACCTTAAAGGAAGAAGCTACTAGTAAC